AAATGTTCTGGATACTTTGAGAAAATTCACATGAATTCTTGACGGTATTCGAGAGTATGTTATTTACTTTCTTGAACTTCGAGAAAATGAATTTTGCTAGTTTATGCATTGCTCCATGCTTGTTGTTGATTATTAGTCTTGGAGGATTTCCTTTCTTCTGTAGATTCGGTAGTCCGTAGGCTGTCGATGGTCTTGCGTCATTTTTGATTAAAAATTTAATCATCCATCTGTCAATTTCCCCATTATTAGGCATTTCCTTGAGCATATTCTTCAGTGTATCGTTGATCTTCGTGGTTTGATCATTGTTTAGTATTTGATAAGTGTTCCGGTTGCCAAGGCTACTTTACATTATCCCCATGTGTAATTTCTTGTCCATTACAACCGTCGCCCCTCCCTTATCCGCCTGAAGAACTATTTGATCATTCTTTTGTTATTTTTTTCGTATACCAGCCAATTTGCTCCTGTGTATCGGTTCTTAATGTGTCATGATTCGTGGGATTATTTCCAGTTCCCTCTCCAGCCTTGTATCTTCTGGATATTTAATCCTTATTTTGACAACTTCCACTAGAATATCACTAAGAACGTTGCCTTCATTACCTAGTGAAAAATGTAGCTCCTTCTTTAGATCTGTAATTTCAGAATTCAGACGGATTGAAGATAGGTTCACTACCTTTGTCCTATCGTCGTCTGTAGCAGTTGATGAATTCAATAAAGAGCCATCAAAATTTACCCAGGTTGGCTTGGTCTTGCGCTGTCTTATTATCACATAACTAAGCAATTTCTAGTCATACCGCTTATTTATCAGATCCCGAACCCTCTGTGACTTCTGGTCCGTCATGCTCTGGAGTTTTTGAAAATTATCAAAAGTGAGAACACTACCTAGACCCTTCATTAATCTATACTTGAGATCTATGAACTTAAATAGCTTACGCCTCTCAGTCTCGTAACTTTCCTCAAATTTCTGGTCGGAGGCGTCATAAAGTATTTCATCAACTGTGTCCGAATGACACTTCCTCATTAGATTGCAGAAACGGGGAACGATACCATTATGTTTGCAACAATTCAAAAAGGCCAAATGGCAGGATTGACTTACAATTTTTTTGTCCGGCTTTAATTAGTGCATTGTTTGGCAATCTTACTTCCATAGTTTAATCGAAGGTATGAAGACCAAGATGGTGTGGCAGGAAAGACGCGGTGGAGACTAAAGCTATTTGGCTAACAATAAAAGTGTTTGATCATAAACGTGATCCCTGAATCACGACTATTGTTAGCCAACTAGCTCCAGCTTCCACTATTTCTATCCTCTTTTTATCTCTAATACCAAGTCTATGAGTTGATATGCACTAGTCTCTTGTGCGCCAACCTACAAACGTTGTGGTTCAAAATTAAACCTAATCAAAGCCAGCAGTACCACAAAGTTTGTGGGTTGGCACACAAGCAACTAGGGCATGGCAAATCATACACTTGGTATTAGAGATAGATTCAGGGTAGACGAGGCGGCGATTGGAGCTAGTTGGCTGACAGTAGGTTTTACAAGAGACTTGCTCCATGTAGCAAAGGCACGACCATAAGACTTACTCTGATGCTTTACCCTCTAATCGATCACCAAGGTGCAGGGCATGGACGAATTACGCCTCGAGTAGAACAGATGGAGGGGCAGGGATCGAGTGAAATACATGTATCAGGGAGATAGCAGACGGATTCTACAGGGCAAGAGGCAGTCTTCGATATGACCCAGAGAAGAACTACGTAAGAATATGACAGACTCTGGTCAACATTCCCAGCACAAGGGTGAAGCGAGTGATAACGACAGTGTGGAGTGTGAAGTGTTTTCATGAATGCCGCTCGAAGGAGCACACCACACTATATTAAAAATAAAAACGGTGAAAATTATGACAGGAAGGGCATGATAGGAGGATATAGGAATTGTGAATAGCCCAGGGCAGAAGGGGAGATACCACAACTGTTGAGCACATGTTTGGTCAAAGGATGGGCTTCACTTGTCTCTTTGACGAGTTGTTGTATGGTTCTACGAATGGCGCGACTCACTGACGATGCCGACTACGATGCCGGCGAAACGTCTGGGAATGTATGACGTCCACGGTCCTTCTTTGGAAATGATCATGCATATAATGGACTCCGGACAAGATGGGTTCTTCTACGTCTTTCTAGCAATATGACCAAGTTGCGAAAACAAGGTCAATAACTTCTATAAAATAGGTATGTTTGGCAAACGTCCCGACATTTTCGAATCATATATATTTATATTAATTATGAACAAAAGACCAATAAAAAAATCCAAAACGGGACAGCTCGTAATCGTAAGGCCAATTAATGTGATAAAAACAAATTGGTTAAGAAATAAATGAGCATACATATGGGACTAAATCTTAATTACCAGCGAGGGTAATGATTATGAGCATAAATAACAACTGGCTTTATTCTAGTGTCTTCAATGCAGGATCTCCAGATTTTGTAAGCAGGCTTTCTTTCGCCCTTGATTACTACTAGTTTTATATGATAATGTCAATAATTACACTTCATAAAGTCAGCTTCCAGTGCCAAAACTCCGCCAAGCTCAAAAACTCATCTCATATGTATATTTAGTTAACGATAATGGATGCCAATATAACTAGTTATAACAAGAAGGTAAGTTAGGGCACTTAAATCTAGAATGGAAGAGTGTTTGCGAATAAGTGCCTGATTAACTAGCAAACTAGTTAAACTCGATTAGTCGAAATCGCAGTTAACTACTAGTGGCAGAGTCTGCTGATAGTAGTAAGAAATATAAAAAATAGTAAACAACTACTTTAGGTTAAATTAATTACCATTCCAAATCTAAATGAAGAAATGCACCATCCTGAATATAAGGTGACTGTGATAATAATGACAGTAATATTAACGACAATAATGCAAGTAAACAACATTAAAAATCACATCAGTGAATTTAGTTTACCATCAAAATAAATTTTTATAATATACAAGTGATAAATATGACTTCAATATAAATAATATAATTCTGCAGGTCACAAACTTGCTCAATGCAGTGGAAAATTAATTTAAGTCAGACTAAAACAAAGAAATTCCTAAAATTAGACAATCCTTGAAGTAGTACTACAATTGAACTGTAACCTGGCTTAGAATGTGAGGTATTAAGCGATACAAAAGGTAACCTTTGGCACAAATACTCATTAACTCAAATTTGACTTCAGCCTAAGCAACAAAGCCGAGGCAAACTAAACAATTGGGGTGAGTTTGCAGATCATAAGGATCAATAGTGTTTTATAAATTACATACCTAAAAAGATGGAAAATAAGTCTGACTACTTACCACCTGAGGTTTCAACTTCATGAAGGAAGCCCGTCTCATGAAGCTGCTGTTGTGGCTGTGGTTGATGTTGTTGAGCTATCGCCGATGTCATTACCTGCCATGGATGGTAAGCTGGGGTGTCGAAGGATGAAGAAGAGGAGACTGCAGTCGGCTCGAAACAGTTAGGCGCCTTCGTCCGAGCCACATGCTCACTGACTGTTGAACAGTCGGAATTCGTAAATGAAGGGGTAATAGTAGTAGTGGCGCTGGTAGCAACAGAGGAAGGAGTAGAGGAAGAGCTAGTGATGGTGCTTGCACCCAAAGACACGGACGGAGTTTTAGGAGCTACAGAAGATGAAATATTCTCCATTCTCAGCTGTATAGCTCTGCGGCTTGCAGTTGACTGAGAATGTGAGCTGTCAAAGTGGCCGTCTACGCTGGAACTCGTCCCAAGAGCTGTGCTGGGGTCTAACGTGTAAACAACACTATCTGTCGAATCGGGCAAGCAGACGACTGGCCAGGTGCCAGAGTTCGATGCAGATGTTGTAGTTGAAATAGGAGTCGTGGTAGCAGAAACAATGGCCACTTTAAGAGGACTCAAAGAGTTGGAGCTCACACTTGAGCTTCCGGATTGTTGAGAAATCTGCACAGCGAGTGAGCGTTGTTGTTCCTGCTGCTGATGTTGTTGAGACTGCTGGTGGTTCATAGGCTGGAAGGAAAGGCGGCTATGTTGCTGTTGCTGATGAAGTTGAGGCGAGGCGTGAAGCTGCACCAGAGGCAGGCTACCAACATAAGATAAAGAGTTGGTACAACCGCCCAAGGCTACGCAAGAATTCGCCGTTTGCTGGTCGTGACCTGAAATGGAAGCCGCTACAGAAGCCGATGTCTCAGAAGCTGTCGTTTGATAAACATGCTCCTGGCCTCCGGAACCCGGATGAATGGCCAGTGGGTGAACGGTGTAATAAAGAGGAAGTTGTGTCTGTCCAGTCGCCAGGATAAAGCCGTCATGAATGGAGGTGGTTTGCAAAGTAGTATGATGGATAGGAAGAGAGGAAGTCGAAGGGATTGGATCAGACTGAGATAAAGTGGCCTCACCAGATCGCTGATCAGGCCGTTGTCGAACAAGCCGAGGACTGGAGGAAGATTCGGGTTCGGGCAAATGGCCACCTGAAAGACTTAGAGAGTCTAGATATGAAAGGAACAGAACCAAGAAGAATAAAGTATTAATTTGAAAAGAAAAGAGAGCTCAAATTGATAATATGAAGATTTTATCAAAAAATCGGTGGTATTTCCATTTCACGTGATTCCTTTAGCCGAAAGCTTGTTCCTAATCGATATTTTATATTTTGTTCCTCGTCAATCGCCAAGGCGACTCGAATAGCAATCTCGCCGTAAGAATAAAAATTATTTTGCTTTTAGTGCCGTAGTTTTGAGCGTAGCAAAGTTTCCTATTAATCTTCTGACTTATACTTGCCATATTACAGGAAGTTTTAAAAAAATTGTTCAGAAAGTCCTTTAGATCTAGCTATGATATAATGAATAGCAGGATTTAGCTTAAGAAAGATTTTTTAAATATTGATAAAATACTTAATACAATAAGCTGTGCCAAAAGACTTGAATGCTACGGTTCTAGATAGCGCCAGCAAAATAAGAAAGTGAATGGTTCGACTTTTACTTCACAACTTGTCAAA